TTTTGTACTGAAGGTGATCGATCCTTGTTTATCTATATTTTATCACATACTCTGTTTGAATTGCTGACAGGCTTTCTTAAATTTTGCAATAAAATGATACACACATGACAACACTCTAACATTTTTTTCTGCAGTTTAATAAACTATGGTTGATGTTTTGTAAGCCAAGGTCAGAGTGGATTTTCAAAAGTTTGCTTGTCTCTAGCTGAAAGCAATGTTTTTTTGTTCTGCACACTTGACTGCTGACTTATTTTTGCAAGCTTTTTTCACCCTTTTAATACATGGTTTTTATTATTTTTGCAAGATTCATTGTTAAAACCTCAGCCATCTGTTTTTTTTTGGTAAACACTCTGCTGAAGAATCCTGTTTTTCTATAACAAACATACTTTTTTTTGTAAAAGATTATTCAGTTTAAAGGAAACCTGTCCTGACAAACATGAAGGGCAATATTCCTTATTTTTTCTTCTGAACATGCTAGTACCCAGGCTGTCAGTCTGACCTGAGTTTAATAATTTGAGTAAGTTACCTTGAACAACTATGAAATATTCTGCCTTTGCATTGACTTTTCTTATTTGCCTACTGATTGGCGCATTAACATCCCTAACGGTCTGATTGTGTCAGTATTTCTGTGCTCAAAGCAGTACCATTTTTTTGCATGGAAATATGTTTTTTTATTGTAGGCCTGTAATTTTTAGGAATAACTCACTGAAATCTGTCCGAACAAGAGTCTAGTAAACATCCCGGGTATGTTAAAATTTGAAACACAAAATCATTATTTAATAAATAATCATAAAAAATATAATAATAAATTTAATTCAATAATATGATCAAGTTCGCACATCACTGAGCAAAGTCGCAAAATCGTTTTCAGTGTCTGATGATGAATTTCCCCCACGAATCATCACTCAATTCTGCAAGTGGTTCTGATTTACTATCGCTGTTCTCTAGCTGATCTAAAACCGCTTTTGAACAAAAGGGACGCTTTTCGGACGCCATGGACGTTTCTCAGTTTCGAGGCAGAAAGAACAGTAAAAATGCAGGCAGGACACAGGACAAAGCACTCGGGACAAAATGTATGTGAAATGGTTTAGTACAATAATGTTTTACTATTTCCCGCCAGTTCTGTCCCCATACTTCCCGATGCTCACAGGGAATGGAACCCAGAAGACAGATGCCGGCATTGGCCAGGGATGCCGCAGGGGGGACATCGCTGGTAGTGAAGGACAAGGTAGGTGAAGAAGAGATCCCGGAGCAGCGCTGCAAGGTATTACCGAGTGTAGCTTGGGGTTACCACTTGTGGTGCTGAAACTTTACCCCGAGCAGGGGCGGACTGACCATTAAGAAACTCGGGCCCTGACCAAGGGCCCAGGGTCAGTAGGGGGCCCCATGAGATGCCCCTGGTACCTTTTTCATAGGCTTTTTTGAGTTTGAACAAGCACACAGGGGCCCCATGATCTCCTATTGCCCCGGGCCCCATGAGTTGTCAGTCCGCCACTGACCCCAAGCTACACTCGGGAATACCTCCAGGGAGGTTAATATAATAAAAAATGAAACAAGTGAATATGAACGAATAGCAGCTAGCAAATAAAGGCAATATCACAAATAGTAAACTAAAGAAAATGCAGCACTGATAAAAGAAAATAATATGATGATAAAGTCCAAATTAAAATCTTGAAAAGTCCTCAAAACATAATAAAACGGAAACTGTAGGAGACTGATCTTGACCATATACACCAACACTACACACTCGGAAAAAGATGGCCCCTTGCGAGACTCTTTGACCATATAAAGCGGTCAGTATGCACAGTGTGATGAAGAGTAGATATGATGAATATTTTCAATGGATATTGTCTCCCAGATGGAATAATGGCTCCTCAATAGTACCGCTCAGTAAAGCACCATATAATGGGGACTCAAAGCGACAGGTGATCCACAAACGGAAATCATCTCACACATATAAAATGAGCTTTCCACTTTAAGAATGGTTATACTTCCACGAATCTCCCATCCAATGGTCAATAAAGGAATATAGAACAGAAAAAACTCAGTGTAGTAATTAATCTAAACTTTGGCCAATTTATTATAAGATCCACGTATATCAACTAGTAATATAACCAGCATTGAATATACAAAAGTTTCCAATAAAATGGCTGCTGTCCCTCCAGAATGTGGTGACGTCACACGCCAAAGCTCTATCCAATGCGTTTCGTCATCAGGAAGACGTCGCCAACAATAGACAAGAATCAGTGTTAGATGCAAGTCCTTGGACAAACATCAGTGTTAGATGAGTGTCCCTTGAGCCTCATTGCAGAATAAACCCGCTGTGATGTGGTATGTGGCAACCTTAGTCTAGTCTAAACCAGACCATGCCCCAAATTTACTCTTAATCATGGGGATGGAGAGTTTAGATCCGGGGGGGGGTTAAATGCATCATCGGCTGCTGCTCAATCCAAAGAATAAGTGTCGGGTGTGTATAGAACTGGTCATGTGAACTGGAATCTATTAAGCTTCACTACAAAGAAGAAAGCAATAATCTGCAATGACCAGACACAAAAGCCATAAAAAATATAACAAAACATTAACCCATTAGATAGCCCTGGGAATAAAAAGTACTCACACTGTCCTTCCTGATAGCTTAATGGGCTGGTGGATGCCTTCAGGCCTTTCGCTGGGCTGGCTCCTTCCCTGCTGCTCAGGATATCCTCCCATGAACATGATGGTACAGTAGAAATAGTCTTCTCCAGCACCTGCCTGTAAGTAGACCCCTTCCCTGGGCCCCCTCCTAGGCTCCACACTCCAGCCTCTCATTCCATCTTCCAGCCGGCACTGTCCAAAAGTGATAACAGACTGATTTTACAACTAATAAAGTCTGGACTGGAAGTAAGGTTACAGGAGCTGGTATTAGTGAAAATCCAGCAGAGGTGCCAGGAGATGTCAATGAAGAAAAAAATGTGATATTTTTGAGGGGGCAGGATTACGAAGAAAAAAAGTTAATTGGTAGCTTAAGTTCCATTTGGGTTTTGTAATCATTGCTCATCCAGGACTGGTTCATTTTTATGAGTCAGGAAGGGACAGGCATATTTGTATCAAAACTTCCTATTGCACTGAAGGCCCTCTCTGACAGCACATTGAAGGCAAATCAAAAGCTCCAATGTGAACTGTGCAAGCTCCAACCAGAGATCCAGTCTGGACACTCAATCCAGGGAGTCCTCACTTCAATAGTGTACAAATTATTCCTGGACCCCAAGTTGTCTCGGATCATAGTTTAGGCACTGCCTGTGACTGCTGTCTGCAGCCAGCCTAGCTGCTGTGGTTTAAAAACACCTTAGAGTATTATTGAAGTAACCAATGTCTTTGCTGCTCTTTTCAGTGAGGCATATTGGGCTTGAAAGGGTATCTTGCCGCTATTGGCAAAGTGACCAAGAAATTCTTCTGTAGCACCACTTTGGCACATTTTCCCCTACCATTTGAAGCAGTAGATGTTGTAGCAGTTCAAACAAATAATCTGGTGGAGTAGGGGGAAAGGTAGAAAGTGAGGAACAAGGAGGGTTGCTGGCCTTTTGCTGCTGACTGATATACTGTATTTTCCAGCATATAAGGCGACTGGGTGTATAAGACGACCCCCCCTAATTTTCCAGTTAAAACATAGGTTTTGGGCTATACTCGCCGTATAAGACTACCCCCCTTCCGAGGCAACACCATTTAAAAACATCAGATTTTTTAATTGAAATGGTTATGACTTACCGGTACTTAAAATCCTTCAAAATCGTCATGTTCATCCTCTGACATCATAAGTTCATGAATGACACCTTGTGATACATTTGTAAGACAGTCATCATATGGATCTAATTCCAAATCAGATGGTTACCGCTGGATGTGCAGTAATACGGCAGCTTCGGCTACATACAGTATACAGTATATATACAGCCCACTGGATGTGCAGTAATGTACATACAATATACCGCGCTGAGCCACGCTGGCTCAAAAAAATGTCCTATGACAGATTAATCTGTCAGCCCGCTGAGCTAAGCGTTTCAAAACGTACCGGTACGTCCCTACTGTAATCAGCCCACTGGATGCGTGTATGTACGGTAGCTGCGGCTACATACAGTATACACTGGGCCAATCACGGCGAGTGATGTATTCTACTAATGAATACAAAGCCTGCTCGGATTGGCTGAGGTTGTGACATAATCAGCCCACCTCTCTGACTCAGCCAATCCGAGCAGGCTTTGTATTCATTAGTAGAATACATTGCTCGCCGTGATTGACCCAGTGTATACTGTATGTAGCCGCAGCTACCGTGCATACACGCATCCAGCGGGCTGATTACAGTAGGGACGTACCGGTACGTTTTGAAACAGCTTAGCTCAGCGGGCTGACAGATTAATCTGTCATAGGGACATTTGTTTTGAGCCAGCTTGGCTCAGCGCGGTATACTGTATGCACAGTATTACCACACATCCAGCCAACTTGACCCAAACAAACTCAAGGTTCACATTTTATACCCCGCGTATAAAACGACCCCCAATTTTTGGGGTATAATTTTAAGTATAAAAAGTAGTCTTATACGCCAGAAAATCCTGTAATTGGGGTGCTGCTCCCACCAAGCTTTGTGATCTAACGTCATCTGTTTCTTCATGCATGTGGTACCCAAATGACTTGTAGTTTTATGAATGATGCACTGCAGGCAAAGGCTGCAAAACTCAATGGCGCTGTCAGCAGAACGTGTATAAAAGGCCCAGACTGAGGATAGCTGTGGCTTGTACCTGTAGGTCATTGCCATCCTATGAAATAGGACAGCTTCTTCTTCTAGCTCTCCACAAGCTAAAATTTTTAAAAAAGGCCCCAACAAATAATATTCCAAAAAATAAAACGTAAAGATCTAATAAAACTAAACCCCAACCCTATATTCTTTTGGGTTATTTTTTTCACCATTTGCCTACTGGGCACTTTCACCCCTTTATTGCCCAGGCCAATTTTCAGCTTTCAGCGCTGTCCAGGGGCGGACTGACAACTCATGGGGCCCCCGGGTAAGAGGGGATCATGGGGCCCCTGTGTCCTTGCCCAAACTCAAAAAAGTCTATGAAAAAGGTACCAGGGGCATCTCATGGGGCCACCTACTGATCCCGGGCCCTCGGGCAGTGCCCGAGTTTCCAAATGGTCAGTCCGCCCCTGGCACTGTCACAATTTGAATGACAATTGCACGGTCATGCAACACTGTACCCAAACCAAATTTGTATAATGTTTTTGAGACAGGTAGAGCATTCTTTTGGTGGTATTTAATCATTTGATTTTTTTTTGTTTTGCTAAACAAAAGAAAAAAAGACCAAAAATGTAAAAAAAAAAAAAAAAAAAAAAAAAGAAGTTTTTCTTAGTTTCTGTCATAAAATTTTGCAAACAGGTAATTTTTCTCCATCACATGTGCACTGATGGTCACTGATGTACAATGACTTGCAGCACTGATGGACATTGTTGGGGCTGCCCTGATTAGCAGCGTAAATATCCCCTTTCACAGTGGCTGGTTACCGGCTCTCCTCACACTGACAGCATGAGGAAAGTGCTTCCAATAACTGGCGATTGTGTTTACATCGTGATCATATGTGACTGGAAACAGCGGATCATGTGGAAAAGGGCCACTGTGATTGGGATCACAGAGGGCGCCCCGCAGCTTTTGCAATAAAACAGGGGGATAGAACATACAGTCAGGTCCATAAATATTGGGACATTGACACAATTCTAACATTTTTGGCTCTATACACCACCACAATGGATTTGAAATGAAATGAATAAGATGTTCTTTAACTGCAGACTGTCAGCTTTAATTTGAGGGTATTTACATCCAAATCAGGTGAACGGTGTAGGAATTACAACAGTTTGCATATGTGCCTCCCACTTGTTAAGGGACCAAAAGTAATGGGACAGAATAATCAAATCAAACTTTCACTTTTTAATACTTGGTTGCAAATCCTTTGCAGTCAATTACAGCCTGAAGTCTGGAATGCATAGACATCACCAGACGCTGGGTTTCATCCCTGGTGATGCTCTGCCAGGCCTCTACTGCAACTGTCTTCAGTTCCTGCTTGTTCTTGGGGCATTTTCCCTTCAGTTTTGTCTTCAGCAAGTGAAATGCATGCTCAATCGGATTCAGGTCAGGTGATTGACTTGGCCATTGCATAACATTCCACTTCTTTCCCTTAAAAAACTCTTTGGTTGCTTTTGCAGTATGCTTTGGGTCATTGTCCATCTGCACTGTGAAGCGGCGTCCAATGAGTTGTGAAGCATTTGGCTGAATATGAGCAGATAATATTTTGCCCGAAACACTTCAGAATTCATCCGGCTGCTTTTGTCAGCAGTCACATCATCAATAAATACAAGAGAACCAGTTCCATTGGCAGCCATACATGCCCACGCCATGACACTACCACCACCATGCTTCACTGATGAGGTGGTATGCTTAGGATCATGAGCAGTTCCTTTCCTTCTCCATACTCTTCTCTTCCCATCACTCTGGTACAAGTTGATCTTGGTCTCATCTGTCCATAGGATGCTGTTCCAGAACTGTGAAGGCTTTTTTAGATGTTGTTTGGCAAACTCTAATCTGGCCTTCCTGTTTTTGAGGCTCACCAATGGTTTACATCTTGAGGTGAACCCTCTGTATTCACTCTGTTGAAGTCTTCTCTTGATTGTTGACTTTGACACACATACACCTACCTCCTGGAGAGTGTTCTTGAACTGGCCAACTGTTGTAAAGGGTGTTTTCTTCACCAGGGAAAGAATTCTTCGGTCATCCACCACAGTTGTTTTCCGTGGTCTTCCGGGTCTTTTGGTGTTGCTGAGCTCACCGTTGCGTTCCTTCTTTTTAAGAATGTTCCAAACAGTTGTTTTGGCCACACCCAATATTTTTGCTATCTCTCTGATGGGTTTGTTTTGTTTTTTCAGCCTAATGATGGCTTGCTTCACTGATAGTGACAGCTCTTTGGATCTCATCTTGAGAGTTGACAGCAACAGATTCCAAATGCAAATAGCACACTTGAAATGAACTCTGGACCTTTTATCTGCTCATTGTAATTGGGATAATGAGGGAATAACACACACCTGGCCATGGAACAGCTGAGAAGCCAATTGTCCCATTACTTCTGGTTCCTTAACAAGTGGGAGGCACATATCCAAACTGTTGTAATTCCTACACCGTTCACCTGATTTGGATGTAAATATCCTCAAATCAAAGCTGACAGTCTGCAGTTAAAGCACATCTTGTTCGTTTCATTTCAAATCCATTGTGGTGGTGTATAGAGCAAAAAAATTTTAGCATTGTGTCGATGTCCCAATATTTATGGACCTGACTGTATGTTTAACTCTGTTTCCATGCCTGTCACTTTACAAAGGAAAATGCACTTGTAGAAAATGCACTTGAAAAGAGCTGAAAGTGGTTCTGTTCCACAGTAGGCCTTAGGCTAGGTTCACACCTATGCAGTTTGCGTTTGATCCATTTCTGCAGTGCTTTATGAGGTGCATTTTTTGCACATGTGGTTTTTTCTTGTTGCTAGGCAGATTAAAATGCAAAACGCATCAAAAACGTACTACATGCCAGGGGCTGACTGACCATTTGGAAACTCAGGCACTGCCCGAGGGCCTGGGGTCAGTAGGGGGCCCCATGAGATGCCCCTGGTACCTTTTTCACAGGCTTTTTTGAGTTTGGGCAAGGACACAGGGGCACCATAATCCCCTATTGCCCGGGTGCCCCATGAGTTATCAGTCTTCCCCTGCTACATGCTTTTCTGCAACATCTCCATTGAGGTTTATAGAACCAAAAATGCTAAGTTTTGCATTTAAAAAAGTCCCTGATCCTTTCCAAAAACCGGGTGAAAAACACAGAAATGTGAATGTGTCCCATAGGAAATCATTGTTAAATGGACTGTAGTGCGTTTCTGCAAAACGCTGTGGAAAATGCTTAGGAAGAGTTCTTCTGTCCATAAAAAGAATTGGAAACAATGTAACTGATAACAGCCAGCAGAGGCATCGAGCACAGAAAGTTATCCACTCACTGAGTTTGTCAGGATTAAGGTTTTTTTTTTTTTCATTTCACCTATTGAAGAGACATAATAAAAGGTTTTCAGCAGTATATATAGTATAAACAGGGGCGGACTGACAACTCATGGGGCTCCCGGGCAACAGGGGATCACGGGGCCCCTGTGTTCTTGCCCACACTCAAAGCACACCCAAAAAAGCCTATAAAAAAAAAAAAAGGTACCAGGGGCATTTCATGGGGCCCCCTACTGACCCCGGGCCCTCGGGCAGTGCTCGAGTGTTCGAATGGTCAGTCCGCCCGAGTATAACTGTATATACAGTACCATACCAAACAGGGAACAATAGGAAGTCTATTGTTGGGGTTTACATGAATTTTAAATTTTATGCCCTCAAGGTATGCACAGGTGAGACTAGAGGTGAGGAGACTGGAGACACATTGGGGGTGATTTACTAAAAGTGGGAATACACGATTAGAAAATTGACCAATCGTTCATCCAACAACCGAGAGGCGTTTGTTCGTTGGTCAAAATCGTGGCCCACGGAAACCAATCTAAACAAATCGTTCGTCGGGCAATACATAGTTTTGATGTCTTCCGTACAAGTGGAAGTGATGCAGTGTGCATGTGACCTTTTAGTACGCCCTTCCGGCCAGAGCGAGTGATATACACAATTACCAGCAATGAGTTTAATATCGTTTATTACATGACCTATAAACATAAATAGTGATACATAAAATATAATCTGCAGAATTCTGGTTTCATCATCTCATTAGGCCAATCTACTTTTAACATTTGGATTTTTCGTTCGTATTTATGAAGATTCCTTGGACATAAACATCCGGGTCATCTTCTGTTTCCGCTCATGCGTGATAGCGCTTGATTGATTTTTTTCGGATGACCGTCATACCGCCGCATAGAAAATGGGTCGTTCGTATGTGTTCGTATTTTCGTTCACAATATAGTTATCGGTTAAAAACATCCTGCTCATCAATGAAGAGAAAATCGTTCAAATTTCTTTATACGATTTTCTTATCGTGTGTACAGGACATTAAACCAGAGAGTGCAAAATCTGGTGCAGCTCTGTATAGAAACCAATCGGTATCGTCAAAGCTTAATAGAACAAGCTGAAGTTAGAAGCCAATTGGCTTCCATGCACAGCTGCACCAGATTTTTCACTCTCCAGTTTGAGGCTACTTTCACACTGCACGGCAAAAACACAAATTCATTTTTTACCGCATTGATTTTTTTTTTTTAAAAAGACATGCGACAAAAAAAAACACCAAAAACACACAATGCATCTGCGTTTTTAGCACAGTTTCTACAGATTTCAATGGGGAGATGCATTTTGCAGTGTGCTCCAAACCTGCATCAAATATGCAGCAAGCAGGACTCTGAAAAATTCAGAGGACCTGCAAAGTCTAAGTTCAGACCTGTGCAGGTTGCTTTTGAGCGGTTTCTGCATTGCGTTTTGCACTTGATTTTTTGCCGCGTTTTTGATTCATTTGCATTTTATTTATTTTTTTTTTTTTCCTGTCTACTAGGCAGATTTTAAATGCAAATTGCATAAAAAACACAATACATGCTTTTTCACAGTGTTTCCATTGAAGTCTATAGAACCAAAAATGCAATTTTGCATTAAAAAAAGTCCCTGACTCTTTATAAAAAAAAACAAAACGCACCGGTTGAAGATGCTCAGATGTGAACATGTCCCATACAAAATCATGTTAAATGGACTGTACTGCATATCTGCAAAATGCTGCAGAAAACGCTTAGGTGTGAACCTAGGGTAAAGAATACATGGTCACAAGTTTTCCTTCAGTTTTTTTTTTTACACCACAAAAGTAGAAGAAAAACAGATCAGTGTGAAAGCAGCTTTATAAAACAATGTGAGAGCTGTGCAACAATCTCTCTACACACAGTGAACCCCAATTTACTTCTATTCATAAACAGAAAAAATAACATATGTTGGCAAAAAATTTTAAATCATGAACCTGCAGGTGGATGCAGGGGACAAAAAAGTAGGAATATTCACATTAGGTTTCCCTTACTAATGTCCAAAAGCTGGTCATGGTAATGAGTGCCTCCCACACCACACTATTTTTCAGTTTTGCCCCTCATCCCCTTATAATATAATGCATCAAAAAGTAAGCATCCCAACCCCAAAACTCAACATGTTTCACCCCTACAAAGGATTCTTCAGAAGCAGGGGGAAAAAAATGTTTTTAAATAAAGCGTGCTCAAACAC